CTTTCCTGGGACTCACTTGGTAGCCCAGGCTGGCCTCGAACTCACAGAGATCCGCCTGGCTCTGCCTCCCGAGTGCTGGGATTAAAGGCGTGCGTCACCACCGCCCGGCTAAGAAGATATCTCTTAAGTGTGCCATTTAACACAGAGAAAACTAGCTGATGCTCAACTGAAAGCTTCATCCCTATTTATGAGTGTTCATAGTTCTGGTGATACTATATCTTGGAGTGCATCACACAACACCCATATAAGAAAAACATCTTGCATTAAATAGTAATTAACATAGAGACCCAGAGATAAACAGTTTTTATGGACAGTGAAAGATCTTGGAGTGCTCAGCTCCAAGTGGAATAGTTATATAACCCCCTCCCTTAAAGCTCAGGGATCTATGCAAGAAAGGAAGCTGAAAAATTGTAAGAGCCAGAAGTAGTAGGTGACTCAAGAAAAACAGCATCTTCCAAACAAGCAGGGCTGATGCGCATATGATCTCAGGGAAACTGTGATACCATGCATGCTATACAAATTCAAGACAGACAAGATCCCAGTGTAAACAAAATCCAGGCCAGAGAAGATGCATTGCACATAATGTCTTACCTCTAGCCATGAAGCTATTTGCAATTAATACCTGCTAGGAAATAGAGTTATGTTAGGTGTAAAATTTTGGATTCACTAAGACAGGATAGATAATGCATTTTTTTTCTCTGAACAACAAAATATAAGTAAAAATAAACTAATGGGGTTACATCAAAAGAACACAAACTAAATCAAAAGACTCCTTTTTATTGCATTTATGACAATACACATATTCAAGATGAGCAGCAAACAAAGAACTCCAAGTGAGTCAAACATTTATGGAAAAAACAAGGGTCTCATACCCTTGTAAAAAAACTAGGAAATGTTTGTTCGAAAGTAGCTGCTTCTAATTAAGAAACTATCACTTTGTGATATCCAAATTTATTGTTTGAGTCAATAGTGTTTCATCCTTAGATGAAGGCATCACACGGGAAACATGGGCAGGCTGTTCAGTCACACTGAGCAGAAAAACTTGAAACTGAGACAGACTTCCAGCAGCAGGGCTTGTCTCAAGTCTAACGACCACACTTACACCCACACCCTGTTCTCAGTCTTCTCCCAGCCTCAGCACTGCTTCATGTCCCAACTCAGGGTAGACTGTTTTTATTTGGAAACTGGTAGCCGCAGTCACAAGAAGCAAGGCAGGGGAAGAATCCCCAAACTGAAACGCCTCGCTGATTTTTATTCTCATTCATCACAGCAACGTTGAGTTGTGTATTTACTCCATGGATCGTCTCTAAAAGCAAGGACTGTGTTAAATATCTATGGGGAGTCAGTAAGTTACTTACAGAAACACCTGTTGCTCATTACAGCCTGTGTCCTAGTGGCCATCCAATCACTCACATAAAGTGCCCCACAGATGTGGGAAAATACGCAGATGAGTTGTGCCCTGAAATGAGAGTTTATCAGATATAAACAAGCTTTTATTATACATTCCTCATGAAGAAATGAGCAAAGAAAGAACATGTATGTGTGTGTGTATAGAGATATGTATACCACATATTATATAAAACATGTATAGTATATTATATATAACACGCATATATACATATACATAACACACACACACACACACACACACACACACACACACAAAATCTCCCCTGGTAAAAAGAAATACTCAATGTGATAATTGGAAGATATGACCAAACGTTACATGCACGTGTATCTTCCAAAATACGGTAGTGTTACTGACTTCTTCTGAAGGAAAAGAAAGTCTTCAAGTCCCTGTATTTGGGGAAGGGGGCAAGTGAGTCAAGGTGAGAGGTCCTCCTATACATTAAGTGCATCAGAAACATCCTGAATTGAGCTATAATAAACAGGTCTGCAAGTGTCTCGGTATGCCATGGTATTAAATATCAGCAGTCACCAAGCATTTGCAAAATGGAAAAAAAAAACTGTACTTAAACAGTGGGGAGAGATGAAAACCATCACCTAGTCAATTAATTTTAAGTGCTATGAAGATAAATGTCTTTTGTGAGATGAAACTGTGAACGTTTTGGAGTGCCAGTCTATAAAATACATGGCTGTGACTCCAGAGGTAGCCTAAATGAAAGGACAGAATGTGTTCTAGCAAATGGGGTTTAAGTGACATTCTAAAGAACCTATTTACTGATTGGTTAATACGGCCCTGGTCTGTAACGAATTTGGATAGTTATGAAATACATTATTAGATGAGCCACTGCAATTTGAAGGTAATTCAGGACTAAATATTAGAAAGTATTTTATTTGGTGTGTACTACCTGTATCATGATTATTAGAAGATACATATTCAGGTATTTTAAAATGAATTGTCATAATACATTTGACTTATTTTTAAAAAGTCCTGAAATAAATTTTGTTGACCCTAGACAAAGAGTAAATGCAAAATTAATAATAATTGTATAATTTACAAAGAGAGTAGCACAATAATTATCAAAATACCAGAGTTCTGCAGGGCTTCTTAATACAATGAAGACAGGAACATTCAAACTACCTGCTTGACATACGTTATATCTAGTAAATTCTTGCCTTACAGAGTAATTACTTTTGTAGGTGGTAAATACATCTCTGTCTATATCATATGAAAATGCAACACAGATACAATTTTAAATTGTTTTATGTACGTGTACAAAGTTAGCCTCAAAAATCAGAAGACTAAGTGAAAGCTAAAACAGAGGCAGAGCCCCATCATGTCACCATTTACCGCATGCTGACCATGCATCGTACATCTTTATCATAGACTGACGCTGAAGAGTGATATTGTTTATCCAGTTAAGTTCAGCAGGGCACACCAGGAGCTTTCCGCTGTCACTGATCTGCACACAACAGGAAACATATGCTCCCACTGTGACACAGTGTCACTTGCTGTGGTAGCTGCACTCTTCATCCCACTATGCTGGCATGCTGACCACGAGGCTTCCCATTATAAATTATTAACTTAGAGACTTACCAGTCACTAAGACTGTTGTCACTTGCTAATTGTGAAATTTTCATGAAAAATAAACTCAAATGACAGAATCAGTTTGTACATCTGTTACTCTATATGCATACATTAACTGTGAGGCAACCTGGAACAAAATGGGTTTCAGCTGCAAAACTGTTGTAAAATATTTAAAAATGATTAACGTATTTGTCTCTCAGTTGTAATAATAACCCCAAAAAGTTTGATTATTAAAATTTTAACTGTAAATATGTCAAGATTAATATAAATTTAGCCTGTTGTTAGTAAAACAAAACTTCTTTGTTACAAAAACAAACCATTTTGTTCATCCTAAGATTGGAGTCTAAATGAAGTGTGATCAATAACAAAACTAAATAATAAACAAATTTGTAATTGTGTTAGTAAAATATGTAGTTTCTTATGCCATATAATCAAAAATAGTATGTTTACACTAGAAAAGAACACAAAATGAAAGACATAGATGTTAAGTACAGTTCAATCTTTATGAAGCCAATCCTTTTGGGTTGTTTGTTTTATTTAAACAGGTTTGTTTTCACAAAGATATTTACGTTAAGTACAGTTGCTATGGAAATAATGAGGATACCATATATTTATAAGAAATGGCATGAATGAACTTATTGATTTAATAAGCACAAATTGATTTTGAATGTAAGATATACAAGGAACTCTATCATTAGATTTAATAGTTGGGTTTCTGAATACAACTTTTTTACTTGACAATAATAGATCAATGTCTTCATAAGAACAATTTAAGCATCATTACTCTTTGTTAAGCAAACACCTACCAGTGTATTTATTTCTCTGTACATGATACAATGAAAAGATATATCAGTATCTTCCTAAAATTTATGGTCTTGTAATATAAAGTAACTGAACATAAAATAAAAAACAAGTAAAGATCAAAGAGTTTATGAAAACTAAATGAGTCAGAACAAAGTGTTTAGAGGATGCCTACCTCATTAAAAGCAGTTAAGTTTGATAAATTTAAAAATTCATATTTTATAATAATTTAATATGATTTTTAAATAAAGACAGTCAAAGTATAAATGATATCAGGAATTCTGGTGGAATTTTAGAAAGTGTCATGAAAATATAGTGGGTTAAAACACATAGATCCATAAAATATTTAATAACTGCCTACTTTTAATGTTATACAGTCATGGAGGTTTAGGGTAGAGAAATACCTGAGAGACCAATTAACTCCTACTGAATTAGCAAAATGGAGCCCTAAACCTTAGGACTTGTTTGAAATCATTAAAGTAATTAATAGTAACAAAATCTACTACAAACCTCAGTCCTAAACTTTTGGAATAGACTCATTTTACACAATGAGCAGTGGCTCCTTGGTATGTACTGTGACTTTCACTACAACATAGCATTTTTAAAGCACAGAATGCTGTATATAAAGTTTGGAAAAATAAAATCAAACGTCATATTTCCATCATTTTCATGCCCCTAGATTGAATAAGTATTACTTATTTTGAAAACCAATAGAAATTTTACATCTGGCCGGGCGGTGGTGGCACACACCTTTAATCCCAGCACTAGGAGGCAGAGCCAGGCGGATCTCTGTGAGTTCAAGGCCAGCCTGGGCTACAGAGTGAGTTCCAGAAAAGGTGCAAAGCTACACAGAGAAACCCCCCTGTCTCGAAAACCAAAAAAAAAAAAAAAAAAGTTACTTCTGAGTATACATAAGTGACCCCAAAAATTCTACCAGGAAATTCCTACAGCTGAAAAACACCTTCAGTAATGTGGCAGGATACACAGCTAACTAAAAAAAAAAAAAAAATCAGTAGCCCTCCTATTTACCAATGATAAATGGGCTGAGAAAGAAATCAGAGAAACATCACCCTTTACAAGAGCCACAAAAAAATATAAAATACCTTTGGGTAACTTTAACCAAAAAAGTGAAGAAAAAAAAAGTGAAAGACCTTTATGAGAAGAACTTTGAAGAAACACATTGAAGAAGACATCAGAAAATAGAAAGATCTCCCATGCTCTTGGGTAGGTAGGATCAACACAGTAAAAATGTCAATCTTATTAAATGCAATCTACAGATTCAGTGCAATCCCCATCAAAATCCCAACACAATTCTTCATAGAACTCGAACGACTAATAATACTCAACTCCATATGGAAAAACAAAGAACCCATAATCACTAAGGCAACACTGTACAATAAAGGAACTTCTGGAGGTATCATCATTCCTGACTTCAAGCTCTACTATAGAGCTATAGATATAAAAACAGCTTGGTAATGGCATAAAAACAGACATGTGGACTTATGGAATCAAATTGAAAATCCTGACATTAATTCACACAGTTATGAACATCTGATTTTTGACAAAGAAGTCAAAACTGTGCAATGGAAAAAAGAAAACATATTCAACAAATGATGCTGGCATCACTGGAAGTCAACATGCAGAAGACTGCAAATAAATCCATATGTATCTATCTCCATGCACAAAACTCAAGTCCAAGTGGATCAAAGGCCTCAATATAAATTTAGCCTCTCTGAACCTGATGGAAGAAAAAGTAGGACGTAGTCTTGAACACATTGGCACCAGAGACCAAGTCCCAAATATGACACCAGTAGCACAGATACTGAGAGCAACAATTAATAAATGAGACCTCCTGAAACTGAGAAGCTTCTGTAAGGCAAAGGACACAGTCAATAACACAAAACAGCAGCCCAAAGAAAGAGAAAAATCTTTGCCAACCCCAAATCTTAAAAACCTCCAAAAAAAATCAAGAAACTAGACATCAAAATACCAAATAGTCCAATTAAAAATGGGGTGCAGATCTAAACAGAGAATTTACAACAGAAGAATCTCAAATGGCTGGCTGAAAGACATATCCTGAATCATCAGAGAAATGCAAATTAAAACAACTATGAGATACCATCTTACACCTGTCTTAATAACTAATATCAAAAACATTGATAATAGCTTATGTTAGAGAGAATGTGGAGTAAGGGGAACACTCCTCCACTGCTGGTAGGAGTACAAACTGGTATAGCTACTTTGGAAATCAGTATGGTGATTTACAGAAAATTGGGAATCAATCTATCTCAATACCCAGCCACATTGCTCCTCTTGGGCATATATCCCAAGGATGCTCAATCATACCACAAGGACACTTGCTCAACTATATTCATAGCAGCATTATTCATAATATCCAGAACCTGGAAACAACCTAGATGCCCCTCAACCAAAGAATAGATAAAGAAAATGTGGTACATTTACACAATGGAGTATTTCTCAGCTGTAGAAAAATAATGACATCATGAAATTTGCAGGCAAATGGATGTAACTAGAAAAAAAAATGTCCTGAGGCAACCCAAACCCAGAAACACAAACATGATGTGTACTCACTCATAAGTGGATATTAGATGAAAAGCAAAGGATAACCAGACTACAGTCCACAACCCCAGAGAAGTTAGCTAACA